CTTACCATGGAACTTTGAAAGGAGACCTAGGTGGATTGATAGAGTCTATAAGGTATTAACAAATATAGATAGCAAAACTGCAACGTGCATTCCACAAGGAACTTATGAGCAGGTAAAGTTTGTAATGGTGCAGTCGGGTGGAGGCTCGGTGGGAGCTGCGAAGGATAACCGAGGAATTGTACGGGTTAACACCTGGCCATCGTTTGATTCACGTTCTCGGCCTCTATTACTGCGGAACCGGGAGCATGGAAGTTTCTGCTCCATTGTTTTTACCTAATTTTTCGACACCCACCAAGTACTTGGCGACTTTGCAGCAAGCGTGGTAGATCGAACCGGTCAGTGCCGATTTGATCTACCTCGATGGCGCGCGTGGCATTGATTTAGCATCAGTCGCCATGCCTTTCTCTCCAGCAAAAGTGGTTTCCATACTGGTAGCAAAGGTAGTTTTCTGAAATACTCGTGGTACAAAGCGGGGCACTATTGAATATCGGATTCTTATCGGGTTCTTGATGTGGCCGATGCACCATGTTTTTCGCAGTCAGTTCCTCTTCTCTTCTCAGCTCTTCACAGTTTCTCCTTGCAGTTTCGCTGCTTTCGCAGCTCCACACTTCTACCCGAACACTACGAGCACACAGAAATGAGAACGAACACGATGTGCCAACACAAGAGACGAGACACAAGACACTGCGGACCCGCTATCGCCTGAAGAAGAACACAAGACACAACTTTGACTCGCATTTGACACGAATATGCCAGTAGTTTAGCCTCGTATGTTTATGCTTGTAGTAATGATTGTAGTCATGCTGTATGTGCTATGTGTTACCAATAAACATGTAACCTACCACTTGAACCACCAAAACCTCATTTGAACCGTGATGCAGTTCAAAACAGACCAAGTGCGACCCCCCTTTACAACGTCCGTGAAGCGAGAAAAATCAACTATCAAAATAAATTTTTCCAGCCCAAATACGACCCCCCCATTGGGGATTCCCCAACAACGATGTGCCCTGCCTCGAAAAAAGGTAGAAAACACAGTGAAAACTAGGGAGGAAATGGCTAAAGGCTTGGAAACAGCTGGTCGCCGCGGTCGTGACGCGCCGCAGCCGCGTCCCGACCCTCTGGCCGCCTAATCAGCAGACCGGATGACGACTGCAACTGCCGAGAACTCACAAGAATCAAGTGAGAAAATTCAAAAAAAGCAAAAGAAGACTAAAATTACAAACAAACACTACTCGCATGAAATCCTTGCACTCTGCCAAAGAGAGGTATTCCGTCACCAATAATAACTGAGACGTGTGAGACGGAGAAAAGCTCCACTCAGCAGCAGACCGTGGAAGAAAACAGCTGATCTGATCGCGACCAATTGCCAACCGGTGCAGCAATTACTGGGCGTGTCGTTGTTGGTGGAAGTACGCGTGGCTGTGTTAAGCTTTGCTGGGATCCTTAGAGAGTGCCTTCCGCTGGAAAAGGCACTATGTAGGGCTTGCTCAAGGCGCGTATTCTTTAATGATCGACGTATTTCTCTGACATGCCCAGAGAATTTACGCGCCCTTCCTTTAATGCTCTCATTTCCAGAAACAAAGCCATTTTCTGGAAACTGGATAAGTAGGGGAGAAACAAACCCCGTTTCATACGAATGTATAATTTGTAGTCATCACACAAAATCTGTATATATACACTTTATAAAGAATCGGATCGGCATCGAAAAGTCAATTTCAACATGACAAGATGGCTTCAGACACATACTAGAACTCAATCCCATATAACATTCCTTGATGATCTCTATGAACTTCCAGCAAAAGATGATTGAAGTGAATCGAAATATCAAAAAAAGACGGTCAAAGAGATTAATACTGATGTTCCATGCCATGGTGATCGCCTGCATGAAGGCGCTCTACCACTTCTCGATCATCCCGCACTTGCCCTTCTCCAT